TGCGGCGCCCCTTCGCGCGCGGCGTGCACAGGCGGGGCTGTACCCCTAAAAAAGCGGGGTGCCTCCTTCAGGTCCAAAGTGCACCCATGTTATCTAGCATGGCTATATTTTTAGGGGTTTGAAGCCTGCAATCTCCTAGTTCTGCAACCCGGGGGGGGGGCTCGGCTCCTCCTCTAGATCCAAAGTGGACCCACGCTAGCTAGATGTTTGTATTTTTAGGGGTTTGAAGCCTGAAAATCTCCTAGCTGTGCAAGCCTGGGGCGTTCGGCTCCTCCGTGCCTCCTTCAGGTCCAAAGTGGACCCGTGTTATCTAGCATGTTTGTATTTTTAGGGGTGTAGGTTGTAGCCGTGTTGGTCTACGGACCCGGGCAGACAAGGCTCCTTGGGTGCGTCGGATATCTTTTATTCGACAAACTTAAACAGTTGGAAAAAGAATTTTCTTAGCAAGCGTTCAGGTTGAAAAACCCTTGGTGGGGCTGAGGAAGGTGCTGCAGTTGGTGCGCGCTGCTCCTGAACGTTGGTGACGCGTAGGGGGTGCACACGGGTGCATGTGCACCCCCTGCGAAAAGGCACCACTGACACTGCTGGCAGCGCCTGCAGACGGTCGCTGCGGACACTGCTGGTGGTGTCCGCAGCCAGTCCGCGATTGTAGGTGGTTGCCGACTGCTGGTCGGCGCTCACCACCCTCCCCCTGCCAACAGTGCTGCAGCCACCTGTGGGAGCTCCTTGCATGCTGCCGCCACTGACAGTGCCACCGCGGCCTGCAGGAGCTCACCGTACCGCCCCAGCCTCCAGGGCACACGTTTGTGGTGAAGAAGCCAGAGGCTGGGCTAGTCTGCATGCAAGACAGGCAGTCAGTAAATGTAAACTGAGGAGTCAGTGGGTGACAGACAGGCTGCAGGGGGGGGAAGAGAGGAGGATGAATGTAGCAGGTAATAGTGGAGAGGTACCTGGGGAGTCAGATGTCTGGCAAGTTATAATGTGTCATAAATCCGATGTCTATATTGAGTCCATGATTTTTTGTATCCAGGAGGCTGATGAAGCGAAGTTCATAGGCTTGTCTGTGAAAAGTGTTTTGTAAATTCCCTTGGAGGATTAGAACCTATATTTTTAGGTCACATTTAGAGGCTCTTCTTTTATCTATAACTAAACTTCCTGACTTTATACCTGGAGTAGTTTAAAAAAAAAAAAAAAAAAAGGCGATTGCGCCGGGGAGATGCTGTTGCCGCACCCTGGGCATGCTCTGTCCCCACCCACCCACGGGTATCCCCTCTGACCTAAGTATCCCTAGGGGTATGTGTACCCCCAGTTGACAGCTCCTGTGTTAAAGGTAAATAAAAACGATTTTTATACACTGAATATGAATAAGAGGAACATACAAGTCCCTAAGCCCATTTTTCCCATAAGCCTTTTGTCCTACCAAGCACAGATTTGCCAACCATGGGAACTTCCAGGAATCTAATCCCCATGAGGAAAACCTGTATAATATATTTCCAGCTTTGTAATGGCCTGAGATGTCGTGGTGGCCAGAGGAAACGCTACAAGGACACATTGAAAGCATGGCTCTAGAAAACAAATGCCAACACAAAGAGCCAGCTGTCAATGTTAGCCCCCGGGATAACAGGAAATAACGGCTGCAAGTTGTTGGAGAGTAGGTTCAGATTAGACATCCGTAGGAACTACTTCACAGTCAGGGCGGCTAGGATCTGGAACCAACTTCCAAGGGAAGTGGTGCTGGCTCCTACTCTGGGGGTCTTTAAGAAGTGGCTCGATGCCTACATGGCTAGGGTCACGAGCCCAGTTTCTCTCCTGCTCAGGCAGGGGGTCGGACTTGAAGATCTACAAGGTCCCTATGATTCTATGATTTTATGAATGAACTCCAGTGGTACCGCAACTGCAACCAAACAGCAGCCCATTTTGAGGTAAAGTATCTTACCCTTGCAGAAAAGAAAAGAGCAGAGGAAAGAAAACCTAGCTTCTGGTTTACTCTCCCATCTGGAAAAACCTGCAACTTCTGTGGACAGGTCTGTGGTTTAAGTACTGGACCCTTCAATCACTTCCAGAGCCATCAATGAGCTGCGGTAGAGATTATTTTTGAATCAAGGGATTGCAGCCACTACCGTGGATTCCTGTATACAGGTTTCCCTCACCATTGCGGGGTTAGGTTCCTGAAAGTTCCCATGGTTGGCAAAACAAAAGGCTTATGGGAAAAATGACAGGTGGTGGGCTGATGCGCGACCACAGAAAACCGTGGTTACTCAAAACCACGTACCGTGGTAGCTAAAATAGAATATTAAGTGTGGCTACTCAAAACCGTGGTTGGCAAGGGAAACCTGTATATCACTTAAAGAATTTCTGAGTTGTGGTATACATCAGTGTTTTCCAACTTTTCCAGCCCAAGGCACACTTACATTAATACATTTTTTCCGTGGCACACCTGTTAAGGCATTCCCTGTCCTCATAGCGTTTGTAGCTCATTGCCATGGCAAAATTCTGCAGCACACCTATTCATTTCTGACAGCACACTTTTGTGCCTTGGCATACTGGTTGGGAAATACTGGTATACATGTTTCTCAGTCAGGGATTTGCCAAGTTTGGGCTACATACTAAAGCTATACACAGCATAGTTGTCTTAAAAACTGGCATTTTTATATATGGAAAAAAAAAAAAAATCACACTGGTTTTAAGAGTGAATTTTACTTATCCTGGGCCTTGGGCATGGGAGAAGAAATTGCACATTTGCCAAGATGAAGAGAAAACATATGGTGGGTTGATTTAAAAAATAAATAGTGATGGCAACGACTGCTCAGGGATTTGTTAGAATAAGTCTGAACAAGGTAAACTAGTGAGCATAAGAGAGGTGACTAAGTGCATAAGAAACTATTTTTTTCAGACTGCTACACCGTTACTACATCAGTCCAAATTCCACGTGTGATGTGCAAAATACAGATGCATATTATACAGGTAAAGAGATACTGTATAACATGTCTTATTTTCATTCCTGTCTATAATCCACAAGCGATTTATCCAGGACTCGGAAGATCTGGAGTTTGCAATGACAGGGTTGTTCTAGTTTTTGGCAGTAAAAGCAATGGCAAATGATTGATATGCATGTGAAAAATCAACACCGCTAAGTAGGAGGGTTATATTACCATGTTCAACACTGAGGAAGTCAGCACAAGTACATGTCTGCAGTATTTATACCACATCTCAACACTTCAGCTGCTCTTGTCTATATTCATCTCTGCTTTTCAGCCGCTGACTTGTTCTGCTTTCTTCAGATACTCAGAACCTGTCCATTCTTTTATTTTCATTTGTTCTGGAACATCTTTGATCTTGAATATTTTTTGTGGTTTAGTATTTAGCTTTCAGTATTATATAGCGTAGGTGACAAACTGACAATGGTTATGGGCACAGTTCTCTACCCCTGAAGTCAGGGGAGTTCTACCAATGCCTTCATAACATACTGAGATAGCTTGGTGCTGCAGTCCCCCAAATTCCCCCTCCGTCTGAATGAAAACATGGTCAAATATAGTCACGAAAGTACAACGTGGATTTTTTTTTTTTATTACTGCTGTATTCCTCTATTAGGTTTATCTACCTTGGAATCTGGGACATTTTGCCCCATTATGATTATTTGTGGGGTTCTCATTTACTGCATCACCCTAAAATAGAAATTAATGTACAACATTTAATCAGATTTGAAACCAGAGGAAATTTCATTTAGTTATTGTTCTAGAAAGGGGGCAACTTATTTGAGGAATGTTCTTCCTACAAGAATTTGTTGATGCTCTGAAGAGTTTACTTTGTATTGTAGCCTCTGGGGGTTTATTAATTATTATTATTATGAACAGATTGTTCTTTTTTTAAGCCGGACATCCTGTGTCCATGAGCACACCCATGGCCATCAGTCAAAAACTTGCAGGCACATACTGGCTTTCATCAGTTACTAAAAACCCAGGGCAGCCCAGAGTAAAACCTGCGGCTTCCAAATGACCTAAAATTATACACAAAGTATTGTATTATACACATACACACACCTAAAAGTATACAAACAGAAATGCCACAAGCAAGCCTTCAAGGTATTGCTTATACCTCTTGAAACATCCCCCTTCTGCCAGAACAATGTGCGTTTAAACAAACAAAACCAAAACCTTCCTCTACCATTTAGTGATCCACCCTTTAAAGGATGCTGGGGGTTTATTATTTTACAGAGTACATTGTAACTAGCATCTTCAAGCCACACAGATTTGAGGGCTCGCCCATGTTTGCCTCCAGATTCTTTATATACTTAAAAAAAAAAAAAATAAAATAAAAAAATCAATGTTACTTACTAAAGGTAAAATAAATTATGAGCCTAAATGAACATAGTCTGTCAGGTATCTGTAACAGGTAATTAAATAACATGTATATTTAGCAGTGCATGGATCAAGTTTCCAGAGCTGAGCATACATTCAAGGCTATTTACAAAATTTATGTATCAATTACATCTCTTCATTTTCTGCCACTTCACTACAAGGTCCCACATTGCCAGAAAGATTTTAGCAAATTGTTGAAGGAGGAGGCAGAGTAGATAAATACCCCGGGGATTACTGAACTCCCTTCTGGAGCTCCATGCTGGAATTTTCTGAAAACACCTCTAAGAATAATAAAGGTATTTAACCGAAATGGTGTGTTGGGCTTGCCTCTGTGTGGGTTGTTGTCTCTTCATAAGTTGCATGTGCAAATCATGCATTACGCATTCGGTTATCTCAGGCAGTATGCAAATACAGGAATATGTGGTAAGTTTCTTTTTTTCCCAGCATGCTTAATGTGCTCTGTGCTGGTTGTCTGGAAAAGGACAGACATTCTCCAAAGAAGAATTGTATCCTTTATGCAAACGCACTGACTTTTTCTTTTTAAACATTTCACATAAACATGCTCAAAAGGATACCTGAAAATGACAGAAATTGGACCATATACATAATAAGGATTGAAAGAAAATGACCTGGTAGAACACCAGTACAGTATTCATTTCCCAAGTCAACTGTAAAATTTATTGTTTAACAGAAAGATAGTGAAATACATTTTCTGACTAAAAACAAAAACCAGACCCAACACCCTCCCAATTTACGTAAAAGCAAAGGAACATTATCACTGAAGAATAGTCATTGAATGAGCTCCTTTGCTTTTTAGAAAAGATTTCTCTGCATCACCAGCTGAGGAGAGAAAACCACATAGTTATGGTATCAGTTCTTCAGTTAGTAAGTAAAGGAAGAGTTTCCTTTCTTCCTTTTGCACATATTCATCATAATTGACCCTATTCATGTATTACCGATAGCTTTTGTAGAATGTTACCCTGACGATAATCCCCTGGATAGAAGCACTTTGCGAGACCTTCTAATTAAATTATTTCCAGCATCCAACACTAATCAAATGTGGATATAAATAAAAACCCTACGTATGAAAACAGTCCTTTAACAGGGGCTGAGAAAAAAAATTGATAGCTTGACTAGATACATTTGAGGGGAAGGAGCTGTTAAAACGGTCTAAAAAGTTTCAGGTATGTAATAACTGTCCAGAGAAATCACGTTGGTAGAAAAAAAATAAACCTTTGCTTAACCTACACGCAAGCACACTTGATCCAATTTTCATTAAAGCTACCTTTCTACTGTCATTATGGAAGCTGGGTCAGACTCAACAGAGAAATACATATATATGACTGTCATTTGCTATCTCTATGCCAGCCTGGGATAAAAAAGCCTCCAGCTCAGAAAGCAAAGAAACTAAGGGTAAAAAGCTTGTCTAGAGTTTCTCTTTTGCTTGCTGTAGTCTTGCCTGGATTTAAAAACAGCTGCTAAATTTGTGGCCTATGTAATCTTCCATAGAATCAGTATGCTGACTGCAACACTCAAAGTCAAGTGGAAGCAAACTCACAGGGCAAAAAAAATAGAAAAAAAGGAAGTGTCTCAAGTTACAGTAAATGATTGAGAGCTCAGAGGGGCAAGGAGTGTATTCCCCCGCTATCCAACAGCTGGGGACAGCATTTTGAATGGAGGTAGCATCACTACAGAATACACTCAATACATTTTCAGTATGCAGAGGCTGCACCTCTGCGAGTTGGCCTTACAAAAGCAGCACACCGCTGCATAACCAAAAAGCATGATTATAATAATTCTCTTGTAGTTGAATATCACCATAGCTTTGCAGGCTGTTGAACACAGCAGCCACTTTGATCACTGACTTCAGCAACCACAATCGTGCAAGCAGTGGGAGGCCACAGTACCTGTAGGAGGTCAAATTCATGGAACTCACCTCATCTTGCTCCAACTGTGCTTCCCGTTTTTAAGGGCTTTGTGTCTCTGACCCTACTTCCTCTTAAAAAGCTTTTGATACATCAAAAACCATCTTTCTGTATTACGTTTTTTAATTTTTGTGGCTTAATTGCTCATATTAAAATAAGCTGTATGTGCCTGTGATGTTCACTTAACTACCACAATACAAGCCCATCAGGAAACAGTATGCATGAATGACTGGTGTGTGCACAACTGCACTCAAATGTGCGAGTTAGGTATACGGTCACTGATTGTGTACACAGAAGCAAGTAGTCTCATTTCTAAACCCAGATCTTATACCCATGTGGACAAGAACTATTCCTGGGAAATTAGCTTTCCTTGTCCCTTTACATCACATTGATTTTACACCTTCTCTAACTTATACATCCAAACATGACAGTTTACAGACTCCAAAGCTCTAGAGGCAAATTTGATCTGAACAGGGCCCACAAGATGCACAACCTTGTCCTGCAATCACCATATTACTTGATGCAGTTAAACTATGCATTGAGGAACTGGGTGTGAATTAGAGGTTCAGTAGCTAATATTTCATACATGAAAGGGGTGGGGTTCCCCACTCCTCCCAAAATGATATAAAACTATTTTAAAAAGCCTACTCTATCCAGTCAAAATGAACAGCCCAACCCAAACAATACTCCTGAGAGTCTGCCTGGAAAAATACATTACAAGCAACCCATTTAACAGCCTAACACTGGCAGAAGTTTGTCACGTCCTGGAGTTGATGAGCTGCAGTTTCCTAAAAGTTAGTTTACAAGTGAACATTAGACAGAAGCTGCATATTTTCATCTTTGCCATTTGTCTTTTCCCTTTTCCACAAGCACGTCTTGTTTGTTCCTACGTGCACCCGTGCCAGGAAGCCTTCTACTTCTGACCGATAAATGAGAGGTGCCAGATTGTTTCTAGAAATTAGATATTCAAAGCGTTACTTATGGCTTTCCCCGTCTTGAGGTATTTCCTATAACTCTTTTCCTGCACATTGTACCTTGACGCATACCTATTATTTTTGAAGACTGGGACAGTTAGAGAAATATTGAAGAAATAAAGCAATCACATTTATAAACAAAGCATTTTTATTAATAAAATGTTTACACCTTTTTTGCACAATACATCAACCTGGTAGTGATTCAGCATGTTATTACACTAAAAAAGTTGGTTATGAAGGCTTAAGCTGAAACAAAGCAGTTTACAATATGCTCAACAAAATATCTTTGTTTGCAGATTATGTGCTATGTGGGGAATGTAACAATTCAAACAAGAGAGAGAAATCATAAGTCTAGTTTTCCTCATCAGCATCTACAAACCAACAATACAGACATACTGTGTACACTCTCAGGACCAGCCCAAGAGACGACTGTAAAAAAAGAAGAAAAAAAAAAATCAAGTCTCAGAACATTCATAAGCTTGGCAATTCATCATTACAATATTTTATCACTAGTAAACAGGCTACATTTCATGCAATGAAGTAATGGTTGTAACTCTGTGCGGTATACAGTGTTATAAATGCTTCTGTAACTGTGAGCGGCTTAAGTTTTATTTTAACAGATGCTATATTAAGAAGGCACCGACCTTTTAACCTTTGCACCAAATTAACCCAATATAGTATTTTAGAAGGCAGAACTTAAGAAGAACTAGAATTGCTGGTACAAAGGTTAATTTTTTTACTTTTTTTTAAATGCAGACAAATACTTGTTACATTGCAAGAGCTATATGTTTATCAAGATTATTACATTTGTGCCTAAATCACTGGAACTTAAATGCCATAATTTATTTTTAAGCTAAAAAATTAAGAGACATGGAATGATTTTTCTCCATTTTTAAGTAGAGAGAAAAAAATGCCAAAATAGAAAAAAAAATTCCGCCTAGGTTTTTATTCCATTTCTATCACTGTTTCAGTGAGCACAGAGCCCAAGTTCAATATCTCAGCCTCGATACCCTGTATTAAATGGAGTTAAATCTCCTATTCTTGAAGTCTTAACTGAACCTAGCAAAAGTCAAGTCAACCCAGGTGAATAATTCATTAGGCTTTTGTCATCACCCTGGTATGATGTAGTGGATGCATCTTGCCTGCTATGTTTTCATGACTGTTCCACAAGGCTGTATTAACAAGTTACCATTTGGTTTACAAATATTTGCTGTAATGGCAGATGCTTGTAAGAATCTTGAGAACAAAGGAAAAAAGACTTGTTACCTCTTCCAATCTGAATCCAGTCAGGAAGCACAGAACAAGCTGTCAGGGAATCAGAATTAGCTTAATAACATAGGACATGCAAATCATAGAATGAGTAACTAAACAAGGCACGGACAAAGAGGGGATACAGTGTGTTCACAAGCAACAACTGAATAGAGTATGACGGGAAAAATAAAGTTAAGGCAGCGACTGGACAGAGAGAAAAGTGGGGCTTATATCTAATGCTAGGAGAGAGTCAAATTGTACATATGCAAAAAAGGAACGAAACAAAGAAATTCAACAGGCTATAATAAAAAGAAATACCTTTACATAGATTGAGAGGCAGTTGGTTACTTTGCCACAATACATGAAGTAAGCTTTGATTCAGAAATATAAGACTCCCACTGCCAAGTTCTTGGATGACATAACAAGGAAGTCAGGATTGCTCCTTTGGGGAGGGTGCCAAATCCAGCAATTGTTTGGGAAGAAGAGTCATTTATCATTCCCCTTTTGTGGAGGATTCAACAGGTGCAGAGGGATACAATGCAGCCACCCATTTCACATGTAAAGATACAGTCAACCTGAAGCCTAGTCAAAATTTTATTGTTTTTTTTATTAGATAGTTCTAGCCTTGCTACAAGTTCTGGCACCACTGCCATTTTCAGTAATACTCAGAATTCAAGGGCATACTATTCCAGAGAATTTTCCAAGAATGTGACCACTCCATAACTGGGTACCTACACGGAGACTGAGCTCTCTTGAAAAACCTGACCCTAGATTCACAATCTAAGATTTGGGAAATCAAACCCTACATTGCCCTCACATTATGGGATCTACCATTAGTCTTCTAAAAGCCTGCATTTCAAGCAAGGGTTTCAGATTAAAGCTTTCTACTTTTAGATTTCTAGATCTCTTAGGAAATCTCGGAGAGGATGGTCAATCGGAGACCCTGGACAAAGTTTGGGAGGGTCAAAACAGGATAACCAAATCTGGCACTTTTGTTTCCAGCTGGAAATATCTGCATTGATTTTTTTCAAAGATCCAAAGGATCAGAAGGCATTTTTCTGAAATAAGCATTGGTAACTGAGGACCTGAAAAATGTTGGCACCCAGTTGTTAGCCAAGAAAAGAAACAGAAAAATCACTGTTTCAAACTTGGTTCTTTCTGCAGGTTGGAGCCACTTGACAGGGCATCTGCCATCATTCTTTTGCCAGCAAGAGAGCAGCTGACATAACAGGTCTTTCATCTAGAAGCCATGTTTTTATTTCTACCTTCAATATCCAATGACATTACATGCCAACAGCTCATTTCTGCATGCAATAAGGTTTTCTTCTTGTTTAATAAAACGTATAGCCGGGGATGTGGTAGGAACATTCTGTCAGTTTTCTGTAGAGTTTTATGCTGAGTTTCTAAGTAGTTTGGTTTTAGACACATTGGCTGCTTGTAGATGTAAAAAAGCGGTGCTTTACTTGAGCGCGCTGAGCCCAGCACATGCCCAGAAGAGGTATTGCACTAGTTGGACCTGGCTCACCCCAAATCTGTATAGATCAGGTGCTTCAATGGGGTTTTTTTGGTACTTTTGTCCAATAGTGATATTAGATAAGAGTGCCAAAAATCCCCACAGAAGCACCTGATCTATACATATGCTGCAGAGCCAGGTCAAAGTAACATGCTGCTTCTCCCAGTAAAGCACGTTTTTTTAAAACATCTACAAACAGCTATAATTCTCATTTTCAGCAAGTAACTACAGCTGCATAAAAATGCATGAAGAAAGCCTACTCTTGGCAATTTCAGGATACTAAGAGTATACATATATCTGTTTAGTTCTCATTTCTGGATTTCTGGTCTTGGGATGACTAATGAACTGGTTTTTTAAAGCTTCCAATAGCTTAGAAAGGAACCCTGAAATTATTTGAACAAATAAGATAGTCAGGAATGATGTAGGTAACAATAAACCAGTAAACAATCCATACTCTTGTAATTTTTTAATATTTCCTTTGATTTTTTATACTTGTTTAGTTATTGCTATTTATAAGATAGATTTACTAAAGGAGTAGCAGTCCAAGCAGTACAGACAGACAGTCTCACTCCTGTAAATTAGCAATTCCTAAGATAGTCCATGCAGATTGCTGATCCAACACATGAAAAATAGAACATCATGTTTCTCAACGGAGCACTATGGACAGTTTCACCAAGAAGAGAAGCCATCCAAACAACATCAATTAGGTTTCTTTGCCCCTTCAAAATCTTAAATATTTTATACAGTGTTCCTTACTGGTAATGTTAAATAAGGAAGTTTAGACTTAACATCTTCATGGAATACAGATATTCAACCTGAATAATTATTTTCTGCAACTAAAGGGAAGGGTTTAGCATATACAAAGGATGGCTTCTTCCTGATGAGCTGGACAGTGAACAATGAATGACCATTCTCTTGCTCCATTTAAAGGATTTGATTTCCAAAACTCTAGAGGGACATTTTAACTTTTCCTGCAGCTAGTCCCTCTCAAGGTAAGTAAAACATTCACATTAAATAGCCTTATAGGAACATTTTTTGGTGTTATGTACATCCAATTTCACATCAAGATTTTTGTTTTGCCTAAGATTTCTGTCAAATGTCTTATCCTGGAACACTTCATGCAAACAATTTAGCCTCAACTAACTTCAAGAGAAGCAAAGGCCTACATTGATTTAAAGCTGAAGAAAGGCAAGACAAGCAGTTGATTTCCGAAAAAAAAAAAAAAGAGGTGTTTTTCTAATAAATTTTAGCAAATATCTTAGGAACCTTAACTTCTTGGCATCAACAGTTGCTTTATATCTCAAGAGAATTCCAACTCCAACTTGCTAAGAAAATTTTCAATTTGGCCTCCCCTCCAAGTTTCTGCCTTCTGCTGAAGCAAACTGATAAGAGTTATTCCATTAAAGGTTTAATGGAACCCAGTCAACATGTACATAACATGTGGTAATGCTATATACAGCAAGAAGCAATTTCTACTCATATATTGAGGACTTACATCAGCTCGTTGTAATGAGGAGCAAAAATCTTGTGCATTTGGGAGCGTGCATATCCAGGCAACAACTGCTTAAGTCAAGCTACTTTTCTTTAGTTTGTACAAAGTACATTTTGAAAAACGAGCAAGTCTGGTTCACAGTCTGGAGAGAGAAAACCCTACAAGGCTATTCTTGAAAAGTGCTGATCTCCTTAACTCCAAACTTCAGAGGGGGAAAAAAAAAAAAAGTGTTGTTAGACAGTGAGCTGGAAGAGTTGATGCTTATCACCTCCAAAGACCTGTCCTTTAGTTCTCTGTAAAAAGGCCAACCTTTGAAGAAATTAGCAGAGAAGCTGGTTGAGGGCAAAGTATAAGTAGCAGCAGCCAAACGTAGTACAGCATATCTGAATGCGGATGGCTTGATGAGAGAAACTGATATAATGGAATTTGCAAGAAAACCACTTGGCTCTGTATCAAGTAAACAGTGAACTACATACATGTCTCTGTTCCTAAGGAGATGGTAATTCTATTTGTATTCCAGCCTCCAGATATGGCAAAGGGAATAACAAAGCTTTCTTTAGGATCAAAGAACTTACATTTCAGCATTCTGTGTTCTGACATTTCAAACAAGCATGGTCCTAATGAGTAGCTTAATCTAAAACACTTCTATAAAAGATTAACTTGGTCTGACATATTTTCCTTGTGCAATGGTGTGAGACTCAAAGTGAGATGACTCAAAAGGGACAGATATTTCCTGTCCAAGGTGATAAAGCTACAATCTCCTCCGCTCCCCCCCACAACAAACAAACCAAAAACCCCAAACAAACCTACATTCAAACGCTCATTTTTTTTTAAAGTAATGCATGTATTAAACAGGCACAGTAATAAGGAAACTGGTTTGACTAGGAAGCTTACAAGCTTATACCTGCATTTTTAATTCATAGGACAATGAAGTGATAATTTAGATTATGAATGTATTTGAAGCTCCTTGATTTGCTAGCTTGCCTGAAAAATGCTCTTGATTTGATATTTCCCCCCCCACATGATCAGCATCTGGAAACTTGCCAGATTTGCAATAACACTCTTATCCTCAAATGCTGTATCTATAAGCCTGCTAAAATCCAAGGCAAAGGATAAAATTGTATGAAAGACAGTAAAGCACCTAATGCCTTGGGCTGCTTACAGACATTAAAAAAATCCCCACAAGAAATGGTACTTAACTTTAAACTCTGTGCGCTCCTGTACTGAGCCCAGCACATATCCAGAAGATGCATTGTGTTAGTTTGACACAGCTCAGCCAACGTCTGTATAGATTGGGTGCTTCAGTGGAGCTTTTCTGGCACTTTCATCTAATACAGAGGTTCTCAAATTGTGGTCTGTGGACCACCACTGGTCCGTGAGCTCCATTCAGGTGGTCCATAGAAAGGTGACTTATGGCTAAAGCTACCAAACATTACACCCAACTTCCCAGAACTTTGCTCAAAAAACAGGCACATCCGCCGCATCAGAAAGGTAAGACAACTGATATTAAAAAACGAGTTGTGTGCTTTGATATGTAGAACAAAAAAAAGTTTATTAAGTGGTCTGCCAAGACCTTTAGCAATTTTCAAGTGGTCCATGAAAAAAAAAGTTTGAGAATCACTTATCTAATAGATATGGGGTTTTCAACCTTTTTTAATAAGTGTACCCCTGGGGGAAGGGGGATGGCAAGTAGCGGAGCAGCTGCAGCATGGCATCTGTATGGCCCTGCTTTTGCCTCGCCCCAGCCCTACTCTGGTGAGGCAGCGGCACAGGGTGGTGGCGCTCTGTCCCTGCCCGTCTCTGCGTACCCCCGGAACCTTTTCAAGGTACCCCCAGGGGTACGTGTACCCCTGGTTGATAACCCCTGTAATAGATGATTGAACCAGATGCTGATTCAGATGTTACAGAGCCGGGTTGAACTAATGCGCCGCTTCTTCTGGTAAAGTGTGTTTTTTCTTTCCTCCATGTCTATCAGCAGCACTGGTGTAGAATTGGGAGAGAGGAATTTTCTGAAGTTCTGCCAATTCCAACAGCTTGCTGGCAGAAGCATGATACACAGAAACTATAGGAAGAGGAGACTGGAGAGACCCTGCTGCAGTATGTACGAAATCTCTCTTCATACAGAAGCTGAAAAAATAGCAATTACTTGCAACTAAAAGAAGATAGTTTAAGGTTTATGATGGCGGGGGGGGTTAAAACAACATAAGATTATGAAAGACACATTACACAATGATGATCTGAAGCTGACAAACATGTGAAACCTCCCCAGAACAGTTTTCTGTTGCTCTGAAAGACAGATCTCCACTACAAAAATTGCACAAGTCACAGAAGAATACAATGTTTGACAACCATTTGGACTTGCTCCGAGATCAATATGGTTTGTATACGAGCTTAAGTGGATAACCACATCTACACAATTTCTTAACTGAAGGATGTTAGGGCAAGATTTTCAAACAAATTAGGCAGTTTTGTGACTGCTGCTGTGCAAATACTTCAAGTAGTTATTATTATAATTATTAGGTATATAATTACACACATTAGTTTAACTGCTTAAAAAATAATCAGGCCCAAAGAACAAGGTTACCCAGCATAGTAGTAACATTTTTTAAAGTTTTGTAAAAGATATGATATAACATTGTAACTAAAGTCTATACTTGCATATTTGGTTCTAATGTTGCAAAGATTTCAGCCATATTATGTATTAGATGTGAATGCTGCACATAAGAACATAGTTTTGTCTTTATTGTAATGTTCCATTTGGGCCATTTTTTTCTGCAGGGGCTTCAAACCAGCTACGATTTATATGCATGCAACATGATTTGCATGCACAAAAATCTTATTTGCAAAAGCAAACAGCATATCTATACAATTACAAACAGATGTGCACCTAAAAGTCCCCACAATTCATTAAAGCCTATTAATTGCATTCAGAATATGCTTTATATCACTGTTAGAATTCAACTGTTTTATTTAAGAATAGCTTTGAAACAGGGCTCTGAAATAACAACTTAGTCTGAAATAAGCTGTTTCATTACCTATATATTCTTTCTAAATTTTCTTCAGCCCAAATAACTGGGATGGTAGAATGCCAAATCAAAAATTAAGAACAAATATCATAAAAATGGCTTTAAGATTAATATTAAAATCTAAAAAAAGTATTTTACATATTTGAGTTTATTAAAATGTTCTCTCTCAAGAGAGAGATGTTTCCTACCACAGCTGGCAGGAATCTAAAAATAAATAATGAAAATAGCATAATAGGGTATTGTCAATTCATAGCTTAATACAAAATGTACTAAAACACCACAACATAAGCTAAAAGCTGATATTCTTAAAACAAAAATAAGGGTTGGGCAAGGCCCAGGAGCCAAGAGGTAACGATCTACGCTACCATGCATGACTTGATTTGGTTCCCTGTTTGCATTTTTTGCTTACAAGCCAGCAGGGTCTGGGTGCACTGCAGGTACAAGTTGCCCGATGGGCAGGTCTTCTGCTGCACCAATGGCAATCTCAACTGGCCTTATCAAGGAGAAATTCAGCTGTGGTCAGAAGAGAGGGATAGGCAGCTTTCCTTTGGAAGAGGTCACTGACTGGGGTACAAGACCTCACAGGCAAGGATAGACTAGCTGGAGATTCTCAGGACCCTATCCATGAGTGAAGAATGGAAGGAGGAAAGGAAACTGATTTCTTGACTGCTTTTACATAATTTATAATACTTTAGACAGTGGTCTCATAAATATAGTATTAACATTTTACACGTGCTAAGCAATTAAAAGCTTTCCCTATAATCCTTAAGTCTTAACAGAACTCTTGACAGCATCCGTTATCAGTCAGTTATGGTTTAGAGTTTCACCTAAGTTTGCTTTATTTTAAACAAAAGTTGCCTATAAACAACATATTAATGTTTAAGTGATTAAGTCAGCATGAAAAGGTAAGATTGTCTGTGGTTTAAAATCTGTTGTTTGCTTATTTTTTTAATATCCTACAATATCATTAAATAAAAAGTGCAAATTGGGATTTGGGGACTGGAGGGACTGTTTCTTCATTACCCTTTTTTAGTAACTTATTCTGTAGTGGTCTAATAGCAACTGTCTCATACTTTGGATTAGCTATAATTACATTTAAAACAACGGCAAAGGAAAGCAGAATTGCCTTATGACTAAATTTTAAACTTCACTGCTGCTCCCATTCCCAAAGACCCACAAAAAGTGCTCATTTCCCTTTTTAGAAAGCATTACAAAGTCTTGATTATAAACTATTAAGTATTTCAGTCCTACCATCCACATACTGAAATTCATTTCAAGCAAGGCCATACATATGACGATGGATTCCCTTTTAATACATGAGATATTATGTGTTGTAAGTAAACAGGCTGACATTATCATGATTGTAGTCTCTTCTGCAAGCCTATAGATGTCAGATGAACTGGTCCACGAACATCAGGCAGATAAGAATTTAAGACCAGCAGTATGTACCCAACATGAACTATCAACTTCCAAGACCACCTACTGTATAAACAAGTCTGATTTCTTAAAGGATCAGTCAACAACAGCTGCGTTTTGTCACTGATGGCTGTCTTCTAAGTTTGAAACCTTTACTGCTAGATTGGGGGTTGGTATCAGTTGATGGAATTCTACGACCTATGAAGAGGGTGGAGGGAAGGAGAGAGACATTTATAGCAAGTTAGTCTCAAGAATTAGTATACGCTTACAAAATATTTTCTCTTCATTCTGTCTTTCAAGAACAAAGGTGCATATTATATTATGGGTATGATGTATATGAGAAAATATGATAATAAGCATGTGATAAGTGTGCAACTGCTAATCCATTAACTAATCCAAATGAGGATTGCAATGCATTTTTAAAACCGTTATGTTGTGTTTTCCAAAACTTCCCCTTTCATGTGCATGTAGGTTGTGACACGTCTTATACAGGTTTTGATCTCTCCTATGCCGTTTCCTTCACTCATCCTTCAGTGACCTTGAAGTACTAAATTCAAACATTCAACAACAGATACAGTAAGATGACACTGACTTCTAACAGCAGAGCCCTGCTTGCTATTTATCCAGCAGAGTGGGTGATTATAATGGGTTTAGAATCTCTGAGCAGAAGCCGTTAGAGGTTATAAAATGACATGAAACTAGCAGCTCATCTTGCATTCTTGAATCCCTATCCACTGGTGACAAACATGAAGCCAAGATACTCTTGGCAGCAGAATTATAGACTGAATACAGCAATCTAACTTTCTGCTTTGGCATCCCTTAGAGAAAAATAAAACCACAGATTTTAATTACAGAAATACTTACTAATTTCTATAAAGAGTTCATTTATGTTTATTGCATTTTTTGCACTGGTCTCTACAAATATTGCATGGATGGAATCTGCATAGTCTTTAGCATCTTTTTCCATGACTTCCCTAAAAAAAGAAAACAAAACATTGTGAATAAAAAAAAAAAGACATTTTCTTAATTTTAGGAAACAGATTAAGCAACTATAATCATTACATTAATAGAAAATTCAGCAAGTAATTTTGCATCTACTGCTTTGAACCACATTACTCATAGAAGGACCAATTCCTCTATTTTTTTTTTTATGTAGTCACTTAACACTTGTTTATGGTATTTTGTTAAGTAGGCAGCATCATAATATGAAGTAAACCACTGCTACCACATTTCATCTAAGAAATGTGAATGAAATAGCTTCTGAGTGCTAATCTGTGGTTGGCCATCAGGAGGTGTTTTACTAAAAAAAAAAAAAAAAGACACTTGGCACATCTACACAAGGTGCTTTACTGTGCAGTAGTCTAATCTATTGTGCAGCAAAATTTCACTGTTTACACATGCAGAGCATTTACTATGCAGTAGATTAGTCTACTGCATGGTTGGCTACTACTTGTAGATACAGGTAGATTAACCGTGCAGTAGCTACTGTGCAGCAGTGTATGTGTAGACAGCTGACAGAGCAAATTGCTCCTGGTCAGCCTAGGCAGTAGGGGAATAGGAAACCGTCTTCTCCCCCAGCAGCTGTTCCCAGGGTTGGGAAACGGCTGGTGGGGGAGGGGTAAATTTCCCAGCAGATCAGGACACAGGACTGGGAGGAAGCTGCCCCAGACCCGAAACAGCTCCCCCTGTTCTCCCAGAGCCTAGGCCTGAACTGGGTGCTCCCTGCCAGCCTGAAGCTGGCACCCAGGGAAGCTTGGAGCTCCCCCTGGCTGTTGTAGGGGGACAGAACAGGACAGGAGTAGCCCTGGACTGAACTGCTCCCATCAAAAGCAAAATTTGCTCCCGACAGGTGCACATATAGATATGCTCCCAGGGAAAAAAAAAAAAAAAAAAAAAAAAAAAAAAAAAAAAAAAAAAAAAAAAAAAAAAACCAACAACTTACTGCACAGTTTTACTATGCAGTAAGCTGTTTTACTACGCAGTAAGCTTACAGTGCATTAACAGCACGTGTAGATGTGCCCACTGTCTATAAAACTGTGGGTGTTACTTACACTATCCACTTAAGCAACAGGAACCCCAAAGCTACTAACAAGCTATGCACGATGCTACACTGCACAGAATCTCTGCTGAAATGTAAATTAAAGTGAAACGCATTAAAATGTAAAGGATAATAAAAAGTTTAGATTGTACAGATCAACAGAGGCAGGACAGGAAGAGTTTCCCCAAAGGAATCTTAGCCAGTTCCACATTTCTGATATGAATTCCAAGCCTCACATTTAACAAACACATGCAGAAATTACTACATATGTTCATGTTGACTTTAAATTCCCTGATACTGCAAAACTGAATGGTGGAACTTTTACTGTTACATAAATGTATTACTGACTCATTATTTTTGCAATCAACTGTCTAAACCCACTCCTTGTTAGAATTAAGTATCTTTTCTGAGTCCTTAGATCAGACCTAGAACGCTCCAGGCACATATAGGTTCAGTCTCCCAAAAGAATGAAAACTTGCTGTTCATGCTCAGTATAATTTGCAAATATAGTTTCAACATTCTCCTTCTCTCCCACCTCCAATTTTAGCCAAAGATGAACTCCTCAGACAAGTCTTCACATTTATCTGTTCTGAAACTAAATGTGTACGCTGAGGTTTAAAATAGTCATCCCCAGCAAAAAACAAAATCTAACATTTTGAAAATGTGTGTTCTGCAGGTACTAAATAAAGGTGGGTGTGAGAGCAGGTACTTTTCCCTACCTGTCCAGAAAACAAGAATCTAAACTCATCTCTTTTCTAGGTTTGGCTTTATTAACTGAGACTTCAGCAATGGGTTCAAACCATCTCAAGAGCATAACTACTGCTAGAACCCTTCCTGAGGCCTTCTTGGCCAACACCTCCAGATCCACTTCCCTCAGATCCATGCCCACTGTGTTTTATATTCTGGTGCAATAAAAAGGCATCTGAGTTTGGGTGTTGACAAAAATCCACTGAACCCTTGTCTGGTAGGACCAGTATTTGCTAAAAGGATATGATACAGCAGTCAGATATTACGAGCCTTTTACAAAATGCTCTAGTTTAAAGACCTTGCATATTGAAATGACAGTACATCCCTCAAAGTCTCCTAATATTCCTGAAATTTTTAAAATTAACAAATACTTAGTACTGGTAGTTTAAACCAGATGTTAAACCAGCACTGAACTGTCAGTAGTTATTTACCTTACATCATTAAGGTCACATTTATTTCCTGCAATGGCTACAACAATGTTTGGTGGTCCATGTTGTCGAAGCTCTTTCACCCAGTTCTTCAAAGTTGCGAAAGTTTCCTGATATCAGAAAGGGAGAGGAAATTAAGAGTCAGGATCTCCTCATTTAAAAACAAGCGAAAGTTCGTAAAATGATGTTACAAACTACATCTTCTTACCTCTTTTGTGATGTCATAAACTATGATAGCTGCTGCTGACCCTCGATAGTACATTGGTGCTAAAGCACGGAACTGCAAGATGAAAACAGAATGGCTTGACACTAGGCCTGAGACCACGTAGGTCAGTGACCAATTAATCAAGTTGCTACTACTCTCATAGAAAACTTATTTTTACATTTAAATAGGCTGGCTGCAAGCAACAAGTTTCCTGTGAAGCACAGTTAGATAAGGAGGACAATTTGGCAAATGTATGTTGATACTACTGACACATTCCACTGTAACAAAGCAATTAATGAAATTTTTCAGTCCAGATTAAAGCCCCAGATTCAAAAAAGGATCTATAGATTTTTACATTAGGTACAGATTTCAGCATGAGTATCTAATTCTGAACACTGGGGAAGAAGAAGGCTGGTCAGAATGGAATACTTTTATTCTTTGTGAAAGTAAATAGAAACTAAGTTAAAGAAAAATAGCATATGCTACTGATAGCGAAGGGTTAAAAAACTGAGTCAAGACCCCAAAAACCCATAGAACCAGTGTAAGAGATTCATGAAAACACAAAACTGAACAGATGCTTCTGTTTTTTTCAAGTGCATCTCTTCAACAACAAATGTTGAATACCTATCAAAAAGAAAAAACAGCAGAAGTCTCACAATTACCTTATAGTTGCTATTAATTCTCAAGATTGTGAATTTTGGAATGCTTGGTGTATGTTTGCCTATAATATAAAGATAACTCCAACATGTTCATAAGAATATGCCTTTTTGAATTCGTAAGAGATCATAATGGTCTAAAGAATGTGACTGGCACTTTCTCAATACATTAGAAGAATTTTAATACTACGTTTCTAAAAAACTGATAGATTAGAAATAGGCAACTAATTTAAACACTGAGAAGTATCAGGAGAGGAACAAAATAATTAACTGAGACTTAAATGCAATTTTTGATTTATGAAACTTCTATATTGACATATGCATACTTTGCAATAAGGCCATGAAAAAATAAAATTATAAAGAAAGCATGGCTTTTCACAAAGACTTTGTTGCTTCTAATAAAATGCCAATTTATTTTTTGGTTAACATAATTCAGTTGACAGCATTTCAATAAATCCTTAAAAATCCAGTGCATTTACACCTGGCTTACAAAATTGTTTTGAGAATAAGCTTGTATACAAAGTTCATGGGTGAGAAGAGAGATTATGGGAGTGCAGTAAGCACATCTTAGAGAAGTGTAATACAAGGGGAAGGGGGGTGGAAATAAGTATTTAAGATGCAAGGAGAAACATATTTGGTAAACCACTACTTTGATTAGTTGACAACCTGGCTTTTTTATTCCTATTTATACTGGGTAATACCCTAATTCATTTGCAAATCTTGCATTACCCTCATTTCCTGTCTGCTAACACTTAGATACTTTTTTCCACCTAAGAACAGTCAGAGGATAGAATACATTTCCTCTTTACCAAAACAGATGTTACCAGAAAAATTCAATTTTCTTTTTGCTGTCGGTTCAAAAACTCTAGTTTTCTTGCCCTGCAGGGCAATTCTGATTTGAACCCTAACGTAGAATTGCCAGCAAGAGTCAACATAATCATGAGAATTTGTCAACAGAGGGGTTAGATAACAAGGCTGAAACTCTGAAAGTGGCAGAAAGAAATGTTGTACTGTCCATAGGCAATGAAAAAAAACACCCCACAGTTGCTTTTGGCACTTGAGCATATGAAGTGTTAGGTTTAAGGGAGAGTGATCCAAATGAAAGCTACCATCAGAATGATGACTGGAATGGAAACTATCACCAGGAGAGATGGAGTAATCAAATTTGGTGATGACCAGCTGGTGACCACCTAACTAATTAATATCTTTTGCATTTCAGCTCCAAGAAATTATGAAGCCATAAGAAACAGTTCTAGAATGAGCTGTTGACAGGTAGGTGGGGGGAGAAATTGGGAGCAAAATCCCTGCTCTATGAAAGTTAATACAAGTTTTACCATAGCCTTCAATAGCATTAGAACATCACTTGCTCTCCACAGATGAATATAGACAATTCATGGCAAACTGTGAAGTGGACTATGAACTAGTACATATTAGACATAGAAGGAGCACAACCTATTTTTTTAATTAAGAAGTCAAGCTGGTCTTATTGATCATTTGAAAAGGCAGAATTAGAGTTCATAAGGGAATTCTACTTTTCTTATCCCTAATGTGTGCATAGCAAAAGCAAGGGGCGGGGGGGGGAGGGGATGTGAGAGATCAGCAGGGATCAGGGTTTTCCGTTTGCCATGGAAAAAATGTGAATTTTCTCCGTTAAGGAAAAACACGGTGGGCTCAGGGCTCCCCGCTCTGCTGCCCTCCCCGCAGGGCTTCTGTGGCCCAGGGGGTAGAACCTGTTGCAGGAGGACAGAGCAGGGTGGGAAGTTTGCTGCTGCTGCTGGGAGCTTCACGTTGGCCATGCTGCCATGGCGAGGTGTCCCCTGCCTACCTGGCAGCAGTGGGGGGCATAACTCCATGCAACCATTGCCACTGGGCACGGCTGGCGCAGTGCTTCCGGCACTCAGCCTCTCCACCCTCCTGCACTGGGTCCCACCTACTGAACCATGGAGGCTGCCCACATCCTCTGCTCCCATGGGCAGCAGCTGGGGTTTGGGTGCCACTGGTTGGGGAGCAGGGGGATGCAGACCCTGTAGGCCTGGCAGCTCAGGTCCCCCTCTGGTAGGGCTGGGAGGGGAGGGGGAAGAGGGGATCATGAGTGAGGGGCATTGGCAGGGCTGGGGGGAGGGACAATGGCACGGGCAGGGCACCAGCATATCAGGGCTGTTCAGTGCCACAAAGAGGGTGAGGGAGAGGGGTGGTGGGAGAGGGAAGACAGCTGCAGCCATATCTAATCCTGAGGACTGAAGGGGACAGGGGGAGCTCTGATTTTCTATGATTAAAAACTAAAATCAAATACCAAAAATACATAGGTATTTAGAATTTATTTTATTATAATGATGGAAGCACTAGTAGGCTTCCAAATTGCTTTAAAATTGTAAGCATCAATAAAACATTGCATTCAACTGATGCACCCCCCCATCATGGTGTTTAATTTTAATCCTGGAAAAATGCAGATGGGGTGGGGGTTAATCCGAGAATGTGTGCTTTTTAAACAGAGAAAACCAGGATCCCTGGTGATTGGTAAGCTTATAGGAGCAATAGCTATAGCTGTCAGGAGTACTTTTGATGGAAGTGTAGGAAAGGACATAACTGAAGAGATATTCGGATCCCCTTTTAAAGTGTCAGAGCCTTGTTTCTTCTTTCCTATTGTCCCCAAATGTATCTTGCTGCCAAAGTGACCCTTTACACTTCAGGAGTATGGAAGAAGTAGTCTACAGAATTTGCAACTTAGTCAAGAGGTGGGAGATAATGTCCGTCTTTCTTCCACCCCACTAAAATGTCATATAACTTGCACAGAAAAAATAAAGTGTCGTGCCAGGCTTAAGACGGAAAAGAGGAAACATGCACTTGACACAAGCTCACAGTAGCAATTGCCAGTCATTTACAGACATGCTTGCTCACAGACTGCTGTAATTTGGATGAAGCGTAGTACATTCTTCCACTGCTTGCAAACATGATTAAAATGAACAGAATGGAACTCCAATACATAATGGAAGTCCTTTGCCAAATGGTTTCAGACATGTTTATAAAACATTATGCAAAAGAACACCAGTCTAGCAATTCACATTTCACTTCTCAGGAAAGGCTCATACATAAACATTTGAAAGCGCAGAGGGGTGTCAATTTAAGACCAACTCTCTCTTGCATTTACCCTTGCAGAGTCCAAAGTTTTATCTGAGACAACACACTCATAGCTACACCTTCTTTTCTACCGCCTGTAGTCCGTAAATAACAAAGTTATTTGCAACACAAAGACACTTCTTTTCAACCTCCTTTTTAACTTGAGTTTGTGAGGCTTTGTTTTAAATCAGCTACCCTTTTGAATAGTTTTGTTGCATGCTCTCAAAGCTGTACCCTTCTTCAGATAAAATTCCTAAAAAGATTATTAAAGTTTGTTCTTTTATTTAAGAAAAAAAAAGTCTTCCTGACATAGGCACCTGCACTATTAAATTAGAAACAAGGTATGTTTAAAAGTCAGTTTTACTTTTTACTAGTAATGCAGTTTGAAATCCAAGGTGTGAACATTTAAGTACCAACCTTATCAGTACTTAAATATCCACGTAATTTGTACTTATTAAACAGTTCCAAGCATTGAATTGAACTGGACTGCTCACATCAGTAAAGTGCATAAATTCATAGAATTAAAGTCTCGCTTTGTACAATGAAACTGGGCTCATACATTTCATTTTATAATTATCATATGCCAGGAGTTTTGCTGGTGAAAGATACTATAAATCAATATTTAAAAGCAAGTAAAAATGCTTTCAAGAAAGCAAGCTATTACCTTTAGGCTTGCAAAAACCCCCAGTTTGCTTTCCTATTGGCAATGTCCCTTCGAACAGAAACTTGTTTTTTACACTGTCCTTATCTTTGGTTTCCTCTTTAGTACCCTTCTAGCTTGTAACTATTCTTTGTATAGTATTTTGTCCAAAATTGTGCTCCAGACCCAGGTGCAGTCTCAGTAAGCTTTCCACTTCTATAAAGATGTTAGAAAATATGAAAATACCCTATATTATATAAATTACTTTCCCTAGGAAAGACAGTAAATCAAAATGAAAGGTAACTCATTCCATTAGAATCCACGCAGATTTGTCTCCGAAGTACTGTGAAAGAATCAGGCAAGAAAACAAACGTTAACATAAATAACTAGCAGAATCAGATGACACTGAATCCTCCAAAATGATGGAAAACAACATCTCTACTTACTCGCTCCTGTCCAGCTGTATCCCAGATTAGGAATTTATGCAGCTCATTTTGGTACTGCACAGTCTTGGTCATAAAGGATGCTCTGAGAAGTTCAAGGTTTTCAGAATACAAATATAAGTAAAATATAGTTTAAATACACAGCTCCTTTTTTATATATATAAAATGCCAAACAATATATATCTTCATGGTATATTAATATATAACAACATGGTATATTAATATATAACAACATTTTCCTCTATTTTTTAAAAAGAAGTGCTTTTCAGGCTGAAATTCATTCCAAGCAGCAGGCCCGAAAGGTGAGACTAGTAACCTATACAGAGGATGGAATTCACCCAATTTAGTATGCCAGAACATAGAGGGGAGAAGTCTGGTAAACGAACCTGCACCACCTTCCTCCCTAGCTTCCTAATGAAGCTATAGGAGATGTAGGGATGCGCTGCCACAGAAGACAGCATTTTTCATATCGCGCACTCCACCACAAGATACACAAAACACCCCTAAATACATATAGAAATTAAAGGAGATATTGCAGGCAGTCCATATGGGAGCCCTTCATTACTGTACTAGCCTCTTCAAAATCTTAGTCGCCAACCAGTTTCATTTATTGCTCTCTCACTAGGGAGTAGCACAGAGTGGACACAAAATACAGAGAAGTCCCTGCTAACTTTCCCATTGAATTTTGATGAGGTTATGGGAATAAAGCAGTGGAGAGCGAAGCCCTCAAGCGCACTTTCCTATCAGTGTATCTTGATGTCTGTAAATCCCTGCCATTCCCAGAAAATGCATTATAGTTTCATAAAGCACTGCATTGTGTGTATGGGACCCCTCTAGTGCCACCACCCAAGCATATTAAACAACATTATTTTAGGAGAATTTCCTACTTTGCTGCTCTGTGAGGAATCTAAACATCTCCTGCAGGGGTAGGGTATAACTCCTGAAACCTAATGCTGGAAATGTGAAACAGTTCTCAACACTCCTATAAGTTTTCAGTGTCATCTGCTCTTTCAGCAGAAACATTACGTTGAGTGATGCAAACTAAGAGACCAACAGTAGGGGTGCACTGATAGAGATTTTGGGGGCCAATACCGACAGCCAGGGCCATCTCTGGGGTGGAGGCGAATCAGGGCAACTGCCCCAGGCCCTGCATGTTGGAGGGCCCCACAGACATTGCTGTACAAGCTCTGCTGCAGCTGCTGGCTCTGTGCTCTGGCCGCTCACCACCCTGCCCCCCCCCTCCCCCCCTGCTCCAGCTGCTTGCCACTGCCCAGCCCCCGCACACCCCCAGGGCCTGCTCTGCAGATAGCCAATTTTTAAGGAGGCATATCAGCTGATACTGATCCAATCTGAGATACAGTTGCGTGCAGCTGGGACGTCTGTTGTGGTGGAAGGGGAGGGAGGAGGGAAGGGGTGTGTGGGGGGGTGGAGATCAAGGCCCCTGTGGTGAGGGAGGGAGTGGGGCTGGGGCAGGCAACGCCCAACTGGGGTGCTGTGTGCACCCCGGGAGGGCAGGCATGTGCCCCTGGATCTGCATGGGGTGGGGTGGGGCAGGGTGGGCTAAAGCTGTGGGGCTGGGACCACGGCTGCGCAGGGCTCTTCCCAGCAGGGGCTGGGCCTGGCTGCCACAGCTCCTGTCCCACACTCCCTCCCTCACTGTGGGGGGCGTTGATCTGCCCACCTATGCCCCTTCCCCTCTCCCTCCCCTTCCACCACAAGAGGCTTACCAGCTGCACAGAGCTCTCCAAGCTGCAGGACTATGTTCTGCACAGGCATTTAATCAGGCAAATTATTGGCCACATCAGGCCAATTTCTGATACAATTAATTTTCTTTATATTGGTGCCAATCTGATATTGGACCAATGTATCGGCGTACCTCTAACCAACAGGGTTTTGTTTTTTTAATTATTCTTTTTGTAGCTTGTGTGTTCTGTTAATGGTTTAAACTTATTTTTAACCTTTTCGAATACTGAATACTTAGAAATCAAGGCAGACAGGAGCTAGGGACTCAAATACACAATATGAACTACAAAGTCTGCAAGACATGTGAAGCTGCCTTCAGATAGCCTGATGAGAAAGCTTATTAGGTAAAGGTCTTTGGTAACTCACTATTAAAGCAAATGGACCTTGATAAGGTGTCAGACACAAATATTTTTTTCTTTTTAAACATTTAGCATGAAAAATAAAGGCCCGATTCCTGCTATGAGCTTTGTGCAGAATTCAAGACATACACAAGGGTAGAGACCCATTGAAGTTAGTGGTCCACTAGCCAAAGTCTTGTATATTATGACAGCAAATTTGTGCATGTGAGATGATAAGTGCTACAGAAATGTCTATTGGGAGATAAATAATATCATCCTTAGAGCAGAAGTTGAACAGCATCTAGTAAACACAGTACAGGTCCACACAATGAACCATGAGGCTAAGACAAAATATTGATTAGCTTTTGATTAAGTAAGCATTGTCCATCCCGAGTACTGAACAAGGCATGGGCTCAAAACAAGATAGCATGTGATCACATAAAGCGGGGGTTGGCAACCTACGGCCATCACACCCTTTGGATCCAGCCTGAGGATGTCATGTTTCAATGCTGTGGGCACTCTCTGTGCCACTGCAGCGACAACAGGTGGTAGTGGAAGAATCCTGAACATGCGACTGCCCACTCATCTCTGTCCCAGAGGTTAGAGGACCTGCAGCCAAAAAAGGTTGCCTACCTCGGCATAAAACGTTGCCATTTCAGGGAATGTCCAGCTTTGCCTCAGTTGTTCTGCACTGGACCATCTGCAATAACTGTATCAACTTTGTGAGCCAACTGGCTCAAGCCTGTTCAAGACCAAATCTCTGGAAATGTTACTGGTCATGTGATAAGCGCAAGTTTTCAAACGGCATAATTTTGCCAAATTTGGGCAGTTTATCACAGCAACAAAAATGACATCCTCAACCCAATGGATGTCCCTCTAACAAACTTCATGCTCGGTTTCCAAAGTATGGAACATCACAACTATTATGTTATTGCAATTTTTTTAAACCTGAGCAAAATATTATATTTCCCCCTACAACCCTGTACTGAATCATTCCGGCTCAAATTTTACAAAAAACATTCAGCCTAAAGCAGATACCTGCCATTACAATTTTTAGTCCAAGTGGTTAAACTCTGGAAACATACAAGCAACTTTAAACAGCGTTGTACAATCCGAAGTATCAGGCAATATTATCAGCGTCGCTACTAATCAGGCTTATGAATAAGTCAGATTTTATCTTTTTAAGCTTATTTCTAAGAAAAGCCTCACATCTCAATATTACCTTGAAACTTTGTTATTTCAGTCAGTCATCTGACCATGGTTTACTCAGTTTTTTCAGAAAAGGCAAGTAGCAGAACCATTTTTATTTAGAGGCATGCATTAGTATGTTAAAGCTTAGTGTAAAGTATGAATTCTCATGCAACAGACATTAACTAATTCTGGATTTTAAATATTCAGCCATAGCGTAATACCAGTTTGAGCTCAGTGTTTTATAAGAAACTGATTTTACTGAACCTAAATTAATTTTAATGCTACCAAGATTCATTTTGAGAGATTCCACGGAAAAAGTTAGGTTTTAAGTGGTCATAACCCAACCACTGCAGATCTGCAACTGTGCTAATGTAGAAGAAAAAAAGCTACAGAAGTCCATTTTTATGCTCGTTATTATATAAAGTAAATTCGAAAGTGAAAAATAACTTATTTAATCTAAATGTAAAGTAGTTTATTATTAAAAATGGGAATTCTGTCTTTATGAAAAACCCATTTCTGGCCTTCATTCATTATCATAATTAGCTTTACTGTAATATGGCTTTGTTTTGACAAAGAAAAAACTAGGAAAGATGGCTTAAAAAAAAAATCAAGCCTTACCTTTAACTCTAGTTACATCAGTGATATGGGGAACAGCTTTTTAAAATGTTCTGTTGACAGAGTTTAGACATACGCTTACATATTGCTGGAGGAAAGTTTATTAAGATTACAAAGACTTACTCATAAAAATTAAATGGATAAATTAATTCACATTACATCGACCCTGAAGTTTAAGGTCTGAATTTGCTGGTTAACACAGAAGTGAATTATGGAGTTTTATGTCCTTCATTGAAAACGCTCTATTCCCAGTTCTAGGCAGAGTTAACAAATGTGTCTCAGATGCCCTTGGTTACTGACATGATTTATGTGCAGGGCAGCAGCCGCTTGAGAAGCTAGGAGTCAAAGCACATAAGCTTGTAAAGATCAGTCGAGACACTGAAGGTTGTAAGACAGTGTGGTATGTGAAGCACTGATGTAATAAGCTTCCCACAGCCAACTTCTACTAAGCACCTGCGCGTCAGCTAAATATTCTGAATTTGATAAGGCTAGTTCCATGTAAACCTTCATATTAATTCGATAAGAAAGTAAACACAATTTAAATGTGAAAAGGGAGTTTCTCATTAGGTGAAATGCTGATTAAAAAAAAAAACATCAGAACTTTGAACTATGAGTATTTCTGGAGTTCCAGATAGCTACCAGGTATTCAAAAGATACTCTGGAATTAGAACTACATTGTCTGGGTGATTTCGCTCAGCCAACTAGCATCTTCTGACCTGGCTTGAGCTTCAGGCATATTGTCAGTTTCATAAAGACGCTCAAAAAAGCAGATACTTCATGATCTAGATAGATCTCAGGATCCAGCCTAGTAGAACAATTTGTGCTTATCCTGATGATGCTAAAGCTCAGAATGCATGCCTGGTTTCTGTACCTATTCGTGTAAGTTACTTTGAAATTAGTTTTTCATGAATGTTTCTGCCAGTTAGACTTGATTACTAAGACACTATATGGAGGAAGATTATAAGAATGTCTCTCAAACATTTTAGAGAATACTGACAAAGCCACTGGGTTGTAAATATTACTGTAAAATACAGTCCTCTGCAACTACTTTTGAATTTAGTATATATTTTGCCACTTACTGTGATCAGTCAATAATTCTGCGGACCTAAATTTAGCCAGGAAGTGAAGACAGAGTCTATACATAACAGTAGTTTCAAAATGAACTTATTTAAATTTTTTGGAGTACGCAGTGTATAGGAACTTCCTACATCTGTTTGGAGAAGTTCTGGTGCATACATCCATACTAGTTTTCAGCAACAAACTATACCAACATGGTATCAAGTCTTGAGACTACTTTAAAGGAGATGTGTTAGAAATTGATGTCTCACAGAGTTGTTACTTCAAGAGGCTAGGCTAAGTATTTGATCCCAATCCTACTGCCAAATTCAAAATACGATTCTGTTCTCTGTACATCCCTAGATCACCTTCATTGCTATAGTATGGAGCACTCTGCAGTGATACATTAAATGATATAACCAACTTCCATCATGAGTGGTTTGCACCCTCTCATCCTCTCCTCCCCCACTGGAAAGAACTGGGTGCGCATTTTAAAAGTATATGCTGCTATATGTTCATATGAGAGAAGTGGAAAAAACACTGCCCCTGAAGTTGATGGTAAGATTCATGACGGTCTTTGATCAATTCTTTTATTGGCAGAGATGAGCTTTGTCTTATGGTTAAAAAAAATACAATATATTTTGCCAAAGGAAGAAAGTTGTCAGTTAAAGCAACCACTGCAGTGCCCCAGGAGATTTTTAGATAGGCTGGGTACAGGCCAATGAACACACCAAACAAATTTGAGAGACTCCCTTCCCAGACTCTCTTGGGCAAAATCAGAAGGGCAGAGAGATAATGATCCTTAACAACAGTTTATGACCCTACAGGTGGGAAATCTCTTCTGTAGGTGGGCATGACACTCAGGTCTTAAGAGTCATAATCACTCATCTGACAAAAAATGATCCATCTGCTCTGAAATCTAGCTCTTGTTAATAAGGACATTAAAAAAAAACCTCACAATTTCTACAGTGTCATTCACTTAATCTAAACTTGTGCACTGTAATTTAAAACCAAGAAAAGGAAAATTAGGCATTTCAAGAGGAAAAAAAAACATACTTTTGATCTTTACTACCTAGTTGCAGTTATCCAATTTCACAACATTGTCTAATAAAGAGAATATTAATTGAATATCAATTTAGTTAATGAAGCTGGGACAAAGAATATTAATGCAGTTGACAAAAATGTTAATCATTGCTAACATTCAACCAGCCTTGATAACAAAAGAGAGATCTTTGGGGGTGGGTTTTTTTTTTTTTTACCATTACTGTTGTAAAGCTGAAATAGCCTGATAGTTATTATAATGTTACTTTTGAAGTTTAAGAATGGTGCCTTAATGAAGTATGCACATGCTAAGTCTCACCACGAAGAAATGGTTACTGATATCTGCATCAACAATTGAATACATGTGTTTATTCATACTCATAAAATAGGACAAGATTCTAAGCCTACTCTACTGCATAACAATGGAAACTGCAAGGGCCAGGATAGTAATTCTTAACATCTGACTTACAAATAGAAATCAGTTCTTCAAATGTATTTTCCATGTCTTATTTCTGTGTGACATTTTGCATGCCTGGCCACCAACTAACACACTAATGGAAATGGATGGCTATTCATGGGCCTGGTGATTTATATGCAAATGTGATAACTTATTGCTGATAATTAAGACATAAATGACTTGTCCAAGGCCACCTAAATCAGTGGTAGATTCAACACCGAGTTCATGGCTCCTATTTTTTCTGTTCAAATGTTAATCTTAAACCTTCAATAAGACACATGGTCTAGATAGATTTAACATTTTACCCAAGCTAGCTAACACATGCAGGGAGTGCTTTGTGTGTGCCACTGGGGTTAAAGGATCTATTCCTCCAGCTTTTTAAGTTGCTGAAATAACTTAAGTTTCTTACCCTATTGTTGGGTTGATGTTGGGGTCGAAGCTGTCTTCTACAAATCGCCATACAATACTTGATTTGCCCACACCAGTGTCCTTAAAAAAATAAAAAATAAAAAAATAAAAAAAATAAAAACACAGCAATTTCATTAGTGAAAACAAGATAGCTCTGTTAAAACACAGTATCCTCAAACAAATAGTTGTGCAATTAATTAAAAAAAAACAAAACAAACCCACTGCGTTGGAAAGTCTCTTAAGACAAAAGTTACACTGTAATGCTAGAAAGTTCTTAATACCTAGTTCAAGCAAGAGGTTTTTATACAGGAAACAGAGAAAGTGCTTCTGCCTCATACCATTGGGTTGAAGTGTACACTTAGATGAATAAGAGATATAACACCCTACATATAAAGCAGATCAATAGTGTCAAACTATTGCAAGCATTACATATTTCAGCCTGACTCATTCAGTCGCACCCAACTTAATGAAAGGCCTTAAACATCATGCATGACATACCTGAAGTAACTTCGAAAAACAATTTTATACAGCTGCAAGTGATGCAGGAGGAAGTCATTTAATTCTCAAGGTGATGATCTGAGGTTTAGAAGTTCCACCGTGACAATTTAACACTATATTGCACGTGTGCTTTTGAAATATTACCACAATTAAGGCTTACAAAAGATACAGCTTCCAGACTGAACAATACATCTAGTAATAAAAGACGCCTAGTTGATTATAGCCCTACAAAATGTTCCATATAATGATTTAATGTACTGTAACAGGTGCATACATCCATACTAGTTTTCAGCAACAAACTATACTAACATGATAACAAGTCTCGTGACTACTTTCAAGGAGACATATTAGAAATCAACGTCTCACAAAGTTGTTACTTCAAGAGGTCATTTGAACCCCAATCGGGGGTTGGACTCGATGATCTGTTGAGGTCCCTTCTGACCAGAGCATCTATGAAACGATCCACTTTACACTCTTTGGATGGGTAATCTAGGCCTTCCTTACATATAAGGCTTTAGGGAATATTAAGTCAACAGATATTAAGAAAAATGTATTTCAAACACGTCAACACAAATGAATTAAAAAAAAAAAAACAATCTATATTTTTTTTCTTACTGATGATGGGAACTCAAACCATCTGACTTATGTTTTATGGCGTTTATAACCTTTCTAAAGACACATTGTTCAAGAGGAGGAAAACAAATACATCTCATGGGGGGGGATTAAAAGACAAGTTTTCTTCACCCTCCTCTTCCTCCCTTGTCCCCTCCGCTCCCCAACCATTTCACAGGTGGGCCTGACACCTCACACGAAGGCGGGCTGAGGGGGGGTCAGGGCGAGGTGGTCGCCGCCGCCTGCATCCGGGGTGTGAACACCGAGGAAAAAAAGATGACGTACCCGAAAATGAGGACTCTCGGTTCAAAGTACAACCCCGAAGGGAAAAAAAAAAAAAAAGAAAACGTGATTGTTTCCGAGCCCGCGAACAGAGTCCAGCTGGCGACGCCTCCTTGATTTCAGAGCAGGCAGAGCCCCTTTCACCGCAGCAGCTCCAGTAAACCCCGGCGGCGCTTTGGGGCCTTTGCCTTGTTGGGGGAAGGGGGGGCTTTCACCCCATCTATTCCAGGGGTAACGCGTGCCCCACGCTGGGCACTGCGGGGGAAAAGGCTTGGGCAGCCCCAGGAGGGCCTGACACCTCACACGAAGGCGGGCTGAGGAGGGGTCAGAGGTCAGGGGGTCAGAGGGGCCGAGGAGCAAGCGCGGATCCCGCCGCCCTGGACCCCGCGCCCGCCACTCACCCCCAGCAGGCAAACTTTCAGCTCCCTCAGCGCCATGGCCGGGGAGGCCGCTGCCGCTGCCGCTGCCGCCCTCAGGGGCCCCGCAGGCGCCCGCC